AGTAAAAAAAAAAAAAAAAAAAAAAAAAAAAAAAAAAAACAGAAGCGTGAAAAAAAAAAAAAAAGAAAGAAAAGAAAAGAAAAAGAAAAAAAAAAAGTCGTGAAAAAAAGGAAAGAAAACAAAAGGCAAAAAAAAAAATTCGTAAAAAAAAAAAAAAACAAAAAAATTTCGTGTAAAAAAAAGAGGGAAAAAAAAAAGGAAAGAAAAAAAAATGGAAAGAAAAATCATACCAATTATTTGTTCAAGCAGAAGCTGCAATCCAACACAGTCTTCAGAGGTTGTAATCTGACAAGTCTTTAGAGAATATTGGAATTGATGTCAAACCCTATAATATTGGGGGTATATATAGGCAACAAAATATCTCCTCTTTGTATTAGGATTTGTATAATTCAGTTCAAATAGGAAAGTAAAATTTCAATCCAAAGTTAGATAGAGAAACAAAAGAGGAAATCTTACAGTCCAAAGTTGGAGAGGAAATGAAACAAAAAAGGAAAGTTGGATACTTCAAGTCCCACTTCAAAAAGGAGACAAGTCATGTCAAACTTGGAACTCGAAGTGAGAGCAATTTGTAAACACTAAAATTTTAGTGGACTTTGGTTTTGACAAATGGACCCATTAAATATGGGCCTAATGTTTAATTAAGTTATTTAATTGGACCAAGCTTAGTCCACTTAAATTATTTAGTTAGCCCAACCCAGATGGTTAAATAAAAAAGAATAATTATTCCTAATAAAATATATCTGGAATAATTATTTTTAAGGATAATTATCATAATATAACCGGCCCGGCCCAATTATCAGTTTATCCTTATCAGGAGATGACAAATGTCATCATCCTATTAATCCAAGAAGCCTATAAATAAAGACCTGAAGGAAGAGGGAAGGTACATAAATTCAGAGTCTAGAAATCCAGAGACTCAGAAATCCAAAGGCCAAAAATCCCGAGGGCAAAGCTGAAGGCGAAGAACATCAAGCGTATCCAAAGTCGTGCCGTTCTTCACCAAATTCAACAAATTCTCTCCTCTCTGAAGACGAAGAACAACAAGCACATCCAAAGACGTGTCGTTCTTCCTCAAATTCAACAAAGGACACAAATTTAGAATTCAGAAGTCCAGAAATTCAGACACAAATTCAGAATTCAGAAGTCCAAAAATTCAGACACAAATTCAGAATTCAGAAATCAAAAAATTCAGAAGTTCAGAAATTCGGACGAAAATACAGAATTCAGAAATCTAGAATTCCAGAGAGAAATACAGAAATTCTCATCCCTAACATCCAAACCTAAAAACGAAGAACACCAAGCACATCAAATCGTGTCATTTTTCATCAAATTCCACGGTGATCAACAATAAGCACAGCCAAAGACATGTCGTTATTCATCCAAATTCCATGGTGATCAACAATAAGCACAGCCAAAGATGTGCCGTTCTTCATCCAAATTCTACAGTGATTCAAGATCAAGCTTGTGCAGCCCTTGGATCCAATCAACCGAAAAGGAGATCAAATCAGAGGACCTTATTCTTTGGAATATTATTTCAAAGGATTGTACTCCATCTTTATAAATTAATAAAATATTCTATTTGCTCCCAATTTTGTTTCTTATTTGCAGACTACAAAATTTGTGTCTAGAGAGTTTGGCCGAAATGGGGAGAGGAAATAAAGGTTGGTTTGGTCTTGCAAATGGTCTCATGGCCCAAAACATGCCAAGTGTCAAGCTTTGTGTGGATCCAACTTTATGCCAAGTTACCCATTAGCCCCTTATCTTTCAATGCAATGTCTTTTCTATCCCCAAAATATCTCCAAACATATATAGATACACATATATGTATATGCACATGAAATGTCTACAATGCCCTTCTATACAAATGGCAAAACCGAGAGAGGTTCCCTAGTGACTTTCGAAAAATTCTAAAATGCATGACACCATCACATCTAATTGACTTAAAAATAATTAAAAATACACTTCTAAAACTCTCGGTTCAAGAAATAGACATAAACGGCCCTCGGGGTCGGCCCGCGTGGCACACAAAATGAGGCACGAAAAAATAAATGAAATAAAAGTCAGAAAAATTCGGGACATTACAAGTGGGGCAGTATTAGGTCGAGAGAAGAGATAGAATGAAGAAAATGAAAGAGAGAGGAGAGAGATCATAGTGGTTTTGGCGGCTGCCGGTGGAGTGATTAGTGGTTGATGATTAGCAACGAGGTGGTTCTTTGGTGGTCAATGGTGGAAAGGGCAGTTTTGAGATTTTCATAAAAAAAAGTTGGCCAAAATGAATGATTAGGGGCCAATTTGCACCAAAGCAAACAGTAGAAGGTTTTGTGCACCAAAAATAATAATAAAGGGTTTTTTGCACCTTTTTAATTTAAGAGGAGTGTTTCTTGCACTTAACAGTACCCTATAAATTATGATAAGATTTTTTGCTCATTGTTAAGATAAACACTCTGCACACTTTAATTTTTGTTTCCTATTTGTGTCTAGCCTCTTTTCTTTGTACATGCAGCTATCATTTTGAATCGAAAAACAAACATGACTTTTGTAGGAACATAAGCTGATTTACAACTGTCACTATTGAGTTGGTTGTCGTCACTCATTTATCCAAAATTCTAAAGCAAACATAAAACAACGGTCACAAATTTTTTTTTTTCCTCTTAAAATTCAAGCAAATTATATAGATTAGTAAATATTTACAATGAAAAAAAAAAGGGGCAAACACGCCATAACGACAATACCATATGGAGACGAACAAAGTGGCTATAACTGTCGTATTGTCCGAGCGGTTAGATTGTTCCTCGTGTCCGAAAGCCTGTGTTTAAGCCTTATACCATTTCGTTCTTTCTAACCACTAACCCCTAACATTCTTGGCATGAAAAAAAACCAATAGAGTGGCTCAAATAATCGTTGATTCTGGTGAAGGTCAAAATCTTGATTGTTTTCGCATATATTTGGAAAATCATTTAGAGTTCAACAGACTAAGATTACACTAGTGGCAGGATCCATGCCCCATACTTGCATCAAACTAGTATGACTTGTTAGACTATCAGGCTCCTTGTCATGACGCTTTGTATTTATAAGTTATCATATCTGTTTACTTTGTTACTCATGGAATGGAATACGGATGTAGTGAGACCATTAGAAAATGAAAATTATTTTGCATTGCTCCCAACTCCAAACAAAGAAAAGAAAATTAAAGAAGAAAAAAACAATACATTGGACAAAGAGGAAATTAATATGATATGAATGCCAAACATTAATTATTAATAGAATGGTCTCTAATTTCTCACCCATAATTTCAGGAGTACAATTCTCATTATAGAATTAAATTTTGAGACTTTGGCCCTCCAATTCAGTATGAGAAGCGTATAGGCAACTTTCCACAATCATAAGTCACAGCAACCACTATTATGGGGTAAAGAAACTTGTAAAATATGGCATCCCTTAAGAACTTCATCCCCCTAATTCCTCATTCTTCAAATTGGCATTATATAAAAAGCCTAATGGCAAAATCATACTCCCCGTTGTATTCTTGAAAATTTCAGAAAGGCAAAGGTGAGACTTATCATTAGGGGTGAAAAATTACGACACGACCCGTCAACACGACACGAGGTAAGTGGGTTTGGGTTGACTTTAAATGAGTTCGGGTCATAAATGGATTAACATGATTAACTCATTTACTTAACTAAGAAAGAGCAGATTATCAAACATATTAAATGTCAGGCATCTGCAGTCCAAGTTTGGACATTGATCTCATTAGTTGATGTGACCGTAATTGCAAAAGCCAAAGAATGGATGCCAAAAGTTTTGGGCAATGATAAGTGGTTACGGAAGGTATAAACTTGGGGCTCGTTTTCATGAGAGAGTTATAAGGATGAGGGAAGCCGGAAAAGACTTGGACGTCACTATCCCCAAGGATAAAGATATCATCTGCCATCTCACCTTCAGCGCTAGAGCAAAACCTTCAGAGACGCTGGTAGAAGAAGACTGCGGGTTGTAGTAGCTTGTTTTCTTTTATTTATGGGTTATTACTAATATTTGACATTTTAGTTGCTGGAGTTCTGTTTACTATTTTAAATTTCTAAGGTTTCACTGTTGTGTAATTCTATTGGATCATTTATAATCTAGTATGGTTATTTCTAGATGTTGGATTTGAAACTGGTTAGATTGCTTCTTGGTTTTTAATCGAATTGGTTGTGTTACTTACTGCCAATGTCATTACAGATCATATCAAAATAAATTTTATTTTTAAATAATTAATTAGGAATTTATTTGAGTAATTACAATTTTAAATATGAATGAAATCAAATGTATTATTTTTTTTTGCATATTCATGAATCATGAGCAACAAATAGTAGCAAAGATTAAAATTTAAAGAGTTGCAAAATTTTACTTAAATAATAATTATTAACTATGATATAAATACTAATTTTAGATAAATATTAAAATTTATAATTTTAAACCATTAGTCATAATTGTAAATCATAATACGTCAACAACATAAAATAGTAAAGGATAAAAAGTAAACTTATTAAGTGACTAAGTGTATAAAATAGTTCTAACTACCTTTTTTTTTTTTTTTTAGCTATATAATTGAAATGAAAAAAAAATAAAAAAATTCATGGGTTTAAAGGGAGAAGACAGTTGTACGTTTTTTCCAGTTAATGTGGAATACCCATGAGATCAAATCCATGGACTTCTTAACAAAGCCTGCACGTAACCAAGCATCATGACCAAGAAATTCTCATGAACTGTACAAAAGTGCACCCAATCACCATACTTAGACATGAATTTTACGTAAGAATAAGTCACAATGAGGAACTTCTCACTTAACTAGAACCCCCACAATGGTTTCATTGAGAATGTCTCGTTACAAGAGTTGTGAGCTCAATAAAAGTAAAGTATTCGCCTTCAACCGACAATGGCACTACCTTTTATTTTATTTTTTTATTTAAAGCACGCAAACATACAAACATTATTCATTCTTGTAGGCCAAAGAATGTTAGTCAAACACCACAATAATCTTTGATTGGGAAGTTGGATTTCCTGCCCTCATCCGAATGAAAGAAGTCCAGAAATTTGTAGTGATGAAATGACTTATACCGTAAAGGATGTGTGTCATCGACGAGCTCTTCTGGTATCTGTATAATCACATCCCTAATGAATGAAAATAGACCAACAGAGTATCTTTCTTTGCTACTCAAGATCACCCGATGAGTAGGAGGTTCTATTCTGCCATTCGTCCATGCCTAAACATGCATATATACAAAACATTTGGGTTTGCAACTTTAATTGCGTTGGGGAGTATGAAATTGAAAGAAATTTAGTTAATTTTTTTTTCGATTCCCAAACTACCCTTGATATGGAATAAGATGAGATATTACTGTGTTTAGAGACTCACCATGCATATGTCTCCTGCCATGACAATGAAAGATGAAGGAGAAGGGTCAATTGGAATCCATAGGTCGCCCTTTGTTTTAATCTCCAAACCCTCAACTTGATGCTGATGAAGAATGGACATGAAGCTCTTGTCCGTGTGGGGGATGATACCAATATTAGTCTCATTCACTTTTGGTTCTCTGTATTTCATAAGTTTAAACAGGTAAGTGGTGGACCCAAGGAGAGACTCGTAGTACTTCTGGATACCATAACTCTCTGATATCATTTTCATCACAGTTTGATCTAATTCCGATACTTCCTTTGTGAAGGAAAGTGCAGTTTCACTGACCAAGAAAAATAACAAAAATTAATAAACAATAAATTTAGTGAAACAAAAAATCTAATGAAATATTATATATGAAGAAATTAAATTCATATGGGGATCGAAAAATATCAAGTTGTGACTATTTTACGTCACATCAAGAATGGTTACCATTATATATGATTTAAATATAAAAATGTAAGTACGTTAGTGTGGATAAATAGATAAATTTCTTGTTCAGCAGTGAACTACAATAGATCATTTTTGTATCCGACAATATATTTTAAAACATACTATACCAGAAAAAATCATTTCCGGAGGGCCACATGAGATTAGTGAATTTCTGAACCCCTTGTAGAGTTTTTGCGTTTTCGATGCCCAAGCTTTCATAGAGAGGAACTAAAGGCTCTTGTCCAACATAGCCATGACTAGGTGTATCAGAACTGATCTGTGCTTTGGTTTCTGCGTCGAGATCATATAACGCTTTTGATGCGCGAAAAATTGCATTGTGAAGCTCCAAAGAAACTCCATCATACACTGCTACGAAACAACCGTACTCTTCAAGAGCTTGCACGGTTTTGTTTCGTGTTGATAGCCAAGAATTTGTACCAGGCTTCAAGTTTTCCTCACAGAAGTGTATAACAGGAAGCTTAGGCTGCTGTGTAAGGGAACCCATAACTCTAGGGTTTTAAATCTACGCCTAGGAATTATGTTTGAAGTGATCTCGTAACAAGGGACAATGTGAGATGCATTATAATTCTTCATATGCATGTTTTTATAGATATTCTAGTGGTAGTAGGAAAACTCCAACTCACATAAACTATGGCTTATGAGGAGCCTTACCAGAGTAGGTAATCTTTTTTTATTAATATTGTCTGGTTTGGATTCTCATCGTCATCATCTTTTTCCTTTTCTTTTTTAGTTGGTACTCATACATATTTCTTAATATTATCTGGTTTGGATTCTCATCATCATCATCATCTTTTTTTTTAATTGATACTCACATATATTTGTCTCTTTTGAGACTTGAATCCTTAACATTCCTTTAAAAAGTAAGACACTGATATCGTTAAACCACTAACCCGTTGGTGAATTCTCATCTTTTGTTGTTGGTATAATTATGTGTCCTCTTTTTGTTGCCTTTTTTTTTTCCTTTGGATTTGCTTAGGATGTTCTTAATGATTTGATTTATGTGATTGGAGTTCACATCATTCAAAATTTTGATGCGATGACATGAGTCTAAAAATCAGTCAAATTCATACGACCATCAAATTCCCTATTTATTCTTATTTTTTTCAAAAAAAGAAAAGGACCAAATAAAAAGTTATATATATATATATGCTTAAAATAGTTTTCTGAGATTAATTCTATATATATAATATTCCTACAAACTTACGCATGTATTTATGGAGGCTTGAACATTTAATCTCTCTTTGAGAAGTAATAATCCAATATAAGTGTTGGTAAAATATATATATATATATATATATATACACACACACACCATTTATAGTTAAGCAAGAACGATTTGTATGAATTTATTTTAAAAGTAATTTTCTTCATGCTCTTTGCTCGTAAATATTAATTTGATTGAGTTTTCTGTTTACTTTTTAATTCTTATTCTTCAGTTTCAATTGAATCAGTATATGTTATTAGAGAAAGTTACTTTTTTTCATGCTATTATTTTAAGCTTTCAATAATGCATAGTTTGATAAACTTTCATTTTTTATGGACATCATAATGTTATAAAAAACTATTGTCGGCGAGAATATATTAACTATTTAATAAGAACAATCCAAACACGTGCGAATTCATGATGTATATATATGTAGCGTTTTTTAAGATTTAGCCAATGGCTTTCAATTCAACTTGATGCTTAAAATTTAAATTAGTCGTAATATATAATAAATTAGATTACATGTGGATATAGATAGATTAATTGTCGGCACTAAACTTGTAATGTTAGATCAGCACAAATAATATATTGTTTCAATTTTTTAATGTTTTGTCTTTTGTTTTTTTGTTTTTGTAGCAATGAATCATGCAAAAACATGTGTGAGAAAAGTGTCAAAATATTTCGGGAATAATTGTTAAAAGTCGAAATACTAATGATATTTTATATATTGTTAATGTTGAAAAACTATTAAATGAACTTTTTAAATTAATAAAATATTTTTTAAACTTGCAACATTTTTTTTACTAAACATGCTTTTATATTTTATCTTTTAAAATTTTTGAAACAAAAAGATATTATTAAGTATATTTCTGATTACTATTCAGAATAACATATAACAAAATATTTATTTTGTTTTAGAAAAAGACAAAATGGTAAAAACAAAATGCCTACCAAGAATTTTTAGTTTACATTCACTAAAAACATTGACAGGAAAATATCTGAGGAAAATTCCTTTCTTTTTAAGTCTCCATTTATTCTGATATACAGTTGTCCTTAATATTAGGGAATTGTTATATAGATTTCTTGCAGCTTCAATATATATCTCAAACTAGTACCGCTTTTTCTTAGAATAAATTTTTTGCCAAAATATTTTCCTTCAAAAATAAACAGAAAAAGAGTCGGCAATCTTGGTCCATTTGTCAAAAGAGGATAAATTGCAAAATTGAAAAAGAAAAAGAAAAAGAAGAAGAATACAAAAGTAACGAATAACATCAGAAGAGAGATCAAATTGAAAGTGGAGGACACGAAAGAAAAAAAATCCACGTCACACATTGAAGTTGTTACTAAAAAATAATGCTAACGAGCCAATAAACATGCAACTCCAACAACTGTTGCATCGACAATGCTGCCTATGGGATGTAGTTACGAATCACGAATACGAATATAAAGTATAAACACAATAAGATTCGGACATAGCCATATGATAAATTTAAAAATAAATAGAATACGGGTACAATCGGATACGATAAATAATAATAATAATAAATACATTTTTTTATATCAATTTTCTATAACATTAAAAATCTAAATGCAATCATTAATCTAATATAAAAGTTCGTTTCATAACACATAAACCAAGTATCTCTAGTCATCACTTAATAAATTTTGAACTTTTTTTTAGTAATTATACTGTGTATTATTGTTCGTACATTTTAATGTTCAAAACTTATTAAAAATGTATTAACAAGTATTGAGAAATATTAAATACGTACGCAATCAAAATATCTGAGAAGTATCGGATACGTGTTAAAAATTAAAAATATATTTTTAAAATTTTGGATACATTTAAGATCGAAACAGATACGTATTTGCAAATATCTGAAGAGTATCGGTATCCGACACCGATACGAGTACGTCGCTCTCGTAGAAGTATCTGTGCTTCTTAACTAAGTATGCAGGAATGGAATGGAATGCAAGTGAAAATATAATGAGAATGGAATAGAATAGTCATTCTCATTCTATTACTTGGTTACAAATATGAAATAATATATGAATTGAATAAATATAACTATTCTAGCGTTTGGTTGGACTAATTTAAAATCTAGAATGTAATGAATTTCAAATTAAATTTTTCGAAATACCCAATTCGGTGATAAATAAATTAAATTAACAAAATAGTATTATTTTATATATTTTTTTTAAAAATAGAGGTAGTGGTGACTGCGGCGACAATGATTGTAGAGGTGATAGGTGGTGGTGATGTAAGTGGTGGTATTGGAAGTTGGCGGTGATGGCTATGGTGAAAGGTAGTGGCGATAGTAGAAAGCGGCGGCAATGGTGGTGGTGGTGGAAAGCGGCGATTGTAGTGGTAGTGATGGCAGTGGAAGGCAGTAGAGGTGGCGGCAACAGTGGTGGTGACAACAACAAATGTGGTAGAGGCGACGATAGTCGATGATGGCAGCATTGGTGGTGGAGGCGGCGACAATGGTGGCGATGGCAATGACAGCGATGGAAGGTGATGGTGGTGGCTATGGAAGTGGCGATGGTGGTGACGATAACATCGGTGTGGTGGTGGAAGCTGTGGTAGAGGCGACGGTAGTCGATGATGGAAGCATTGGTGGTGGAGGCGGCGACAATGGTGGCGATGGCAATGACAGCGATGGAAGGCGATGGTGGTGGCTATGGAAGTGGCGATGGTGGTGACGATAACATCGGTGTGGTGGTGGAAGCTGTGACAGTGGTGGTAGCAGCAGTAACGATGGTAAAGGTGACGGTTGTGAAAGGCAGTGGTGGTGGTTGAGGAAAGTGGTGGCAGTGGTGATGGTGGTTTTTGGACTTGAAATATAAGGGTGTTTTGGAATTTTATTTTTTTAAAAAAAATTACTTGAGAATGGAATGACCATTCTCAAGGTCGGCCTTAAGACTCCCAAAATTTTAAGAGGCCCTAAGTGAACTTTTAAATACAAGGCTTTTTATACATAAGGTTTCGCACGTGCCAAAAATTTATAAGAGTGCAAAATTTTCATTAAAATGAAACGATAAACACAAAATATATTAATGTTGAAAACACACCAAAAAAAAAAAAAAAAAAATCTTGATCTTAGCGCTTTATAAAGAACACGATCTAGTTTACATCAAAAAATTAAAAATATATATATATATATATTCAACACAATTTAGTCACAAAAATAAAAATTCAACTTCATATTAAAATAAATGTGATCATCTTACATTTTGAGCCGCAAAATTATCAATTAAAGTACTCCAATTAAGTTTTTCCAACATATCATCGACCGTAGATAAGATTTGATCAACTTTAAGTTTGAAAATTTTCTCTTAGCAAATACAACTGTAACTGGGATATTCAATAATACTCTATATGCAATCCAAGCACTTGGAAAATAATAACTTTGACTTTTTATAACACCCAATACCTCAATTGCCTTTTTTGTTCCTTTTAATAAAGCTTCTCTTAAAATTTGTAGTTCTGAAAATAATTATGTCCCATCAATATCAGAAACCATGTCATGTTTTAGGAAATCTTCAAGATTATTTTGGAGAATGTGACAGTTGATTGCACTCATGAGTTAAAATTTTGGTTGTAACGCCCCAAATCCCACGACTCGATGCATTAACCAAGTAAATGCAAACCCTACTTGAGAACTTGAGCAACAAATACGGAAGCTAAAGTCAAAAGAGTCATAAATACGGAAGTTAAGGGTAAAATGGTCATTTCATATCAAATATGGTGGATGGGGTGTCCACCATTGGAAAGTTAGCTCAAAACCCTTCAAGTTAGGCTCAAGAATGACTTAATTGGAGTTTATAATGAAAGAGATACAACCATAAAAAGAAAGAGAACAAATATGTGAAGTACTGGGATAGAGTAATAATACGCCAACCGAATTTAATCACCAAATAAGACACGAAATTGTCACATCACTCACTCATTCATTAAATGAAAAATTTTATCATTTTAAAAAGACCACTTTACCCTCAAAATATCATCTAAACCCTTCTACATTTTCTCTCTCTCGAATAATCGTCCAAACCCTTCTTTATTTTTCTCTCAATATTTCTCCATCTCTGTCACTGTCCTACCCTCCTCTCCACCTCCACCTCCACCGCCACCATCTTTCTGTTCACTGTCCTATCCACCTCTCCACCGCCACCATCTCTGTGTTGCCCCCACCCCTCCACTACCACAATCCCTTAGCTTCACATCTCTCCCTAAAAGACTTTCAAATTTGTTCCTTCTCAATGACTCATCAAACTTTTCA